CTAAGCTGAACCATAGTAAGCTACATCATTTGAGGTTGAGGCTCTCTCTACTCTTCCCTGAAGTCCTTGCATTATTCTTTTATACTGGAGGCTATAAAAAGGCGAAGCAGCCTGGGTGGGGAGTAACATGGATCAATCATACCCTTTCATCAATATTTGAATACAACTATGTTCCTATGTTGCAATTGAGGTCTGAGAGCTCTTCTAGCCTAATTAAATAACAGTCCCTTGAAATGGCAGCAGATACCCTATTGCTGCTCTAAAGAGGCCATCACAGAGCATGTACTGTAAACAAGAAAGGAAAGGAAAAAGAGCATAATAATTCATCAGTTTGGGTATTCTTTTAACCTCTTAATATGTAACATTTTAGAATCATTCTCAGCCACCCATAATGGCTCACTTTCTCTTCTCTAAGTGCCTGTTGGAAATCTATTTCTGCACATACCTCTGCAAACACAGTTTAGAACATTAGAGCCTGAGTGGGTTTATAATTTTTAGTTTTAATGCTATGGTTTGCATGTTAATTGCCTTTTACCTTATTAAATGTATTTTATCAAATAAAAATGTATTTATAATTGGCTCTGAGCTTTCAGTCTTTCCTTAGCTTTAGTTTGCACTCTTTTTTGGAATAAGCCCTTAGAACTTCATTTAGAAAACTTAAGTAAAATATGCAAAAGTTTTCCCTTTTATTAGTAGGTCACTATTTCAGAATATACTCTCACTCTATAGTAATGTTACAACTATGTTATATAGGGACATAGCTCTTTCTTTTTTATTTCTGTGAGTAGTGTTTGTATTGGTAAGAACATATTAAGTTCAATGTCACTTGAATATGTAAATGCAGAAAAGTTTTTCATGTCCCTGTCTTCATCCATTCCCTTAGTCATTCAGTAAGTTTCTAATATAGTAAGTTTCAGCTATATAAAGGTGATATTTGTAAATGTACATATTTTGAAACAGCTACATAAATTTTGCTGGAGTTACTCAGTACACCTTTAAGAAATACTGTGTTCCATGCACCAGGACAGACATTGTGGTTTAAACAAGACACAACCTGTTTCACCAAGGGAACTATCATCTAAGTGCCTTGCTGAGGATGAAGAGTGAGCATCATCAGGGTTGCTAGGATTAGTACCCAAAGCTCATCTTTTTTTTTTCTCTCCCACTTTGCTGATTCTCTTGAAAACACACCCTCAGGCAGCACCATTTGACTGACAGAGTCCCTGATTTGAGATAGCATCTACCTTAGGGTTCCCATTATTCTCTGTCAAGGTTGTGGCTACCAAATTCAGTTGTTGTTCCTGTCATATTTTGCACAGACTGCAGTTAGGCCAGTTAATAACATCTGCTTGGTGGCATCTAGATGCACATAATTTTTCAGCCAGGCAAAGCACCAGTATGGGTGGGTTGACTATAGTGGACTAACTACTGAATTCAAAGGAGTCACCTAATGCTGACCTGTGCAATCTCCACTGCTAAGTTGGGTCCTGGGCTTAGCCTCACAGTTCATACTTACTCCATCACCTGGCTGACAAAGTGGGGGAAGAGCATCAGCACTTCACCATCTCCTCAGGTTTCATCATTCATAAACCAAGATAGTGTTTAGTGTCCAGGAATGAGTGTCAGAACTGAAGACCTAAAGCTGACTCAAACGTTCTTCTCTTTCTTACTTCCTGTAAATTCTTCTACTTGTGTAGTCATAGAGGAGCTGGTCCTGGGATCTTCTTTCCATTGCTTATTATCTTTGATGACAGTTGTGCCCTATGAGATGGTAAGTTCTCTGAGGGGGGAGATGGGAGACTGAGCTTCTAGAGGAAATTCCCACTATCTCCATGTGACCATTGCATAGAACTTGGTGTTTGTAAGCCTCAAGTTCTTTATCTATTGGAAAAGAAAGATAAATTGCTGCACTGTGCTACTGCATAGGGCTAAAACCAATTAACTACCGGAGCAGGAACTACAGCTTAGTAGAGTGATTTCCTATTATACATGAGACCCTAGATTTCATTCCCAGGACCACACAAATAAATCAATGGCTAGATGGATAAATAAGTAAATATTTTAAGGCAAAAATCAATAAACTGTTTTGTTAAAGACTATCTGCATGATATTTAATAGTAATAATTGAGACCATATGCATAATATTTAGTAGTAATAATTATATGAGTATCATTACAACTATAAAAGGCCTGTGTTCAAATTCAGTATAAGTAAATTAGTAAATTGATATTGGGAGAAACATATGGTATTGGGAGAAACAAAAGACAACCTTCTGAGTGGTCATGGAATATCATTCAGAAATGGAAATGGGAAGGATCTGCGCTTCTGCAATGTATTCATGCCAAAAGCCTCTCTGAGTCATGGGGTGGCATGAGGATACTATATTAATTGACCACTTAATAGAAAGATATTTGGCCAGTTCAGTAAGGTTGAATGTGTGTATGTGTGATGAAGCTGATGAAAACTTTTCTTCTGGATAAGCGGGACAAGTGAACATGAAAAGAGCCAAGAAAGTGGCTGGCAGGGAGAATACTCTGGAAAACGGTAGCTGTGATGTAGCCCACAGCAATTACTTTCTTGTAGAAACCTGACTTCACTTACATATGGAGGTGATAATGGGAGAAAAATAAAAGATTCTTGAACCATAGGCAGAACCTGTGTGATCTAGTCTTATTCTGGAGAGTTTGGTGAGGGAGCAGTTATAGCTTTCTCTGGGCTCAATCTGCCCCAGCATCAAGTGCTTTTCAGGTGACTGTAGACTGCTAGCTCCATGAGAGCCCTGGGATCAGAATCTCTAAACTCTATTTACACTGGGTCAGCTTGGCCTGGGGCCTCTGAGTCTATGATATAACTGTGGGACAGGAAGCATTTGAGAGTGTGAGACTGCAATCATAAGACTGTAAGATAGTGAGACACAGAAAGACTGAGTAATGTGCTTGTCCAGTGTCACAGTCATAGACTGCTGCAACTTTTAAATGACAATCCAGAGTTCCTTCTCTTCAGAGCATAGTAAATATGAGTTAAGGAATAAACTGAAAGTATTTCCAGAATGTAAAACAAACCTGTATGTGGATACACAATTAGACATTGAAGATATTGTCAAGATATATTCTGTCTACAAATTACGCAGAGCTAAGAGGGATACTTGGACACCCTCAGAGTGGATAAGATCGTGTTGTACATTTGGGATAGATAAATGATCCCCCAAAACCAAGGAATCATATGTCTGGGGATTGATACACCCACAATCAATAGGGAATCCAGAGTGGTGAATGGAAGTCCTTCCCATTAGTTTAAAGGGAAACATAAAAATCTTTACTCCATACAAAGCAATGAGAAATCACCAGACCCGTATCCTCTTATTTTACATATGCAAATCACAGATATAAACAGAAAAATTTTAAAAAGGAACCAAAATCCCATGGGAAAAAGCCCTTTCTAGAGAATGGGGACAGCCTCCTGTCCAGGCCAGTGGGAGCTGGCCATGTGGAAGACCAGTCCTGCCAAATAAAATTGTTTTTTGTTTGGAGATAGTGAAATGGCCAAAACCTTTGACAAACATGTAGGGTGAAAACCTGGACTTGAATCTTAGGCAGCTCTTTTCTGCCAACCTATTTCTTCTTATGCAGAGCTGTGCTTCAGGAGTAGTGGCAACGCAGGAAGTCAACTTCCTCTTTCTTCTTAAATCACCTCTTGATAATGGGAATCACTGTATCAGCAGACTAAAATCATAGCTAGCGGGTGTTTTGTGGGTAATAGAAATGTCAGAGATTGTTGAAGATACCCTAGATTCCCAGGGTTTGTGAAAATGCAATCAATGTTATCTAAGAGTCTTTGAAAATGGATTCCATTAAGTAGACAAAAATCACTTTGACCATTTGAAAAAGCAAATGGGATTTTAATTGGTTAGTGTTGATTGCACATGGGCAGGGAGGTTTATCTATAAATTCTTGACCCTGAAAAGAAGACAGATGATGGCTCATAGTGAAGCAAGCACAGTGGCATTCCAGCAGACACACTGTCTTAGAGATGAAGCTTGACTGGGATAATGAAACAGTTCTGAGGCTGGTCGGTGGTAATGCTTGTGCGACAGCATGAGTGTGTTTAATGCCTCTGAATTAAATACTTTAACATGGTTAAAATGTTAAAATTTATGTTATGTACATTTTACCCTAATTAAAAGAAAAAGATGAGCTGTAAGCCTTTGGATCACATATACAGAAAAAAATAGTTTTCCAGAAATAGTTCATACCACTGAAAGTTGGGAGATATATTTCTACTGGACCAAATACTTCTTGTGTTGTGGGTTTGTTCACTTAAGCTTAAAAAATAAATATGAGAATGAACTACATATAAATCTGAGTTGTGGTATCTCCCTCCTCTATAACAATTAACAATGGTATAGTTGAAGAGCGAGAGCTATAGAAATTGCATTAGATTTGGAATAGGACAGTCTTGGAATTGCATCTCAAGTCAATCAGTTAACAACCAAGTGGATGATTTGGAGATGTATTTGCATCCTCCTTTCTCTCTCTAGAGTCCATTTTTTTAAATCTATAAAATGGTGATAATTAAAATGTAAAGTACATAATATAGTGACTGAACTGAAATAATGACAACAATTACTTCAATAAAATCCTTTCTTTAGAAGAGGAGATCATCAGTTATCACCCAGTCCACAGTGATTATGCAGGTTAGGAACACTGGGACTTCATTGTATTATTAACTCTGTTAAACTATTAGAGTTGCTGCAACTTGCTAAGATTGCTGTCTTTATAAGTTTCGACTGGTCACTGAGTGTGGGCAAGCGGAGTTTCTTAAAGGATAATGTACGATCTGTCTATAAAAATGCAACACACAGTGAAGGATTGTCACCCAAGTCAGATGAATGCTAGTGAAATTGGGGATTTTTTTTCTGAAAGACTTAGTGGAATGACACGTGTGAGTTTGTGCTGTGCTCCTTTGTACCACAGCCTCACCAGGTCTCTTTCTCCCCTTAGACCTTCGCAGGCAACATGAATGCTGACAGTGTGGTGCATCACAAGCTGCTGCACTCAGTGAGGGCCCGCTTTGTTCGCTTCGTGCCCCTGGAGTGGAATCCTAGTGGCAAGATCGGCATGCGGGTGGAGGTGTATGGATGTTCCTACAGTGAGTACACACATGTGCCACCGAATCCTGCTCTTTGTCTGTGAACAACACCAGACACAGGACACTGGGTTATCCACAGTGAGAAAGAAAATTATTGTATACAAAGTTATTTCTATGCTTTCAATAATATGTGTACTTTAACCTAGAATAAGACAAATACATTTCTTTTTAGGGCTCAAGAAATTTTGAGACAATAATGTAGCAAAGATTCAATCAAAAGTTTAACATTAAGAGCACTTGAGGTTGGCTAACTTTTGTAATTTGTAATAAAATAACTTGTTATGTTCAGTTTTCCCCAGAAATGAGTTGAGTTATTATAAAGGCCTTCCTATACTTAGAGCCACATGGGGAAAACCATCTCTTTACTTGTTCCTGAAGAAGGAGGATGGTTTCAATGCAGTGCAACACACAGCACACTTCTCTAGAATTATGATATGTGTCTATTTCTTTGTGAGTTGTTTATGCTGAATTTGAAAGTAGAGCTCCAACTTGCACATACGGAAAGCTGGAAACATGGGTGGAATTGGTAATCACTGTAGAAGGTCAGAATCATGCAGGGAACCTTCCCATCCCCACAATTCTCCCCTCTAGGCTTTGTACTGAAATGTAAAATTGTCTCATCATAGGTTGTTTTTCTGCTATAAGCAATGACATTCCTAGTGTTAGATTCTGACACCCAGTGACCTCTAATGAGTAAACACATTTGACCACCCGGATTTTTATTTAAATGAGTTCAGCAGGTTTCTGATTTGGGTTGCAGGAGTGCCTGATATTCCACATTCTTTAATTGTTTTCCACCTAGGGATCAACCAAAATCCTGCCTTAGAACCCTTTGAAGTGCTCTGTAAAAGTACATTTCCCCAGTCCCACTACTTACATGCAAAATTGATATTTCTGGGAATGGGGACACACAAAGCAAATGTGAATAGCTCTCCAGGCAAATTATGAGTATAGGGTGGGTCTGGTAAAAATAAAATCCTGCACATAGGAGATTTGCTTGTGAAATGACTGTATTTATCTTGAACAAGCACTTTCAGAACACAACATCAACAAACATTAGGCCAAGGAGGGACTTCCTTCTTCTCTATGCCTCCTCTGGATTCTCTTCATAACTCATCTCTTGATAACAAGTTGCCACTACACTGAGGATTTATTTTTTGCTTTTGTTTTTTCTTTGCTTTTGTTTGTTTTTAACTAAAGTATAAAAGCTTCATCCTATAAGAGATAAGAAAGGTTATTTATTTTATTTTCCTAGTAGTCTATTTTGGCCTAATCATTTCCCTACTTTTTAATATGTCCTCATACTTTATGTTTTAGCTTTCTCCTTGTTGGATTTTTCTCCTCAATCTTCACACCCATTGCTCACCTACACTGTCTGCTCCTACAGAAAAACTTACAATGTCATATAAACCATGGAATGCAGGCTTAAGTGACATCTTTGAGCTACATGTCTAACTTTCTCTGGTGATGGACCCCTTTGAGAATCTGATGGTAACAACAGATTTTTTCCTCAGAAAAATGTCCACAATAATTTGTAAGACTTTCTATAGTACTTAAAGGTTCTCAGGTCTGCAGGGACTCAATTATGGATTAAACTGAGAACTTCTGACTTTGAGGGATTGCAGTCCTATCTCTTTCTGTGTCAGCTCTACATCTAGAGTGTCCTCTATGAGGATGAGTTTCCTTCGGGGAAGCATGGCCAATGATGAGACATTAACTACCTCAGTGAGCTGCTGAACAGAAAATGTCCTTCATTGGAGTGTACTTCCCAATAGAACCCTACAATCTTCAACTAGCTGATACGATTTGGTGCTTTTTCCCTTGGGCTGGTGGGGAGGAGCACATCTCTTAACCTCTATTTAAAGTCAATGCTTCAACATGCTTCTACATCTAGTTCTTTCTTCAGCATGATCTTATCTTCCTCTGACCTGGATTTTTCCAATAAACACAGAACTTTACTGTATATGCTATTGAGCAAAATAACAATAACAAACCCCCATGGCCCTATTAGAGCCTCTTCTCCTTTCTTCCTCCTCTTCACAGAAGAGTTTCTTTCTTCAGTTGCTATCTCAGCCTTCTCCCCTTTCTTTGTCTCTAGACATCTGAGGGTCAGCCGAAAGTGTCAATGTGGCCAGGCCTTAGTCCCCAGTTATTCAACCCAAAACTATTCTAAGTGTTGCTGTGACATGGTTGATGTTGGAAATGAGATGACTTTAATTCAGATTATCCTAGATAAGCTTATAGTCCTGATTCAGTCAGTTCAGAGATTTTAAGAGCAGCACTGAGATTTCCCTAAGGAAAAAGAAATCTAACTTGGCAGCTGCTTCAGCTCCTGCCTGAGTTTCTGTCTGTCTTCCAGATAGCCCTGCCCTGTGGACTTCACATTTGCTTAACCACCACTAAAATTTTGTAAGCCATAGCTTGTAATAAATCTTCCAACATATATAAGCATCCTACTATTTCTGCTTCTTTGGGAGATCCCTGACCAATGAAGAATGTTCTATCGAAACTACTTTAGTCAAGATACACCAGTGACCTCCATGCACACAAATCCAAGGGGTCATTTCACTTTTCTTGCCTCAACCTCTTAGAGTATTTGGTTCAAATAACAATTTACATTTTAAAAAATCTTAGCTTTTCCTCCTATCTCACTTGCTACACTTACTTCTTCTCAGGGCTTAGTTTCAGGCGTTCTTGTATTTTCTACCTACTCCTTATGACTAGCTAAATTTATAGAGCTCCAAGAATTTATCCAGCATCTACATGCTGGTCAATTCATATCTCTACCTCCTAGCCAGAGCTCTGAAATTATGTATGCAATCACCTACTTGATATCACCACTTGAAAGTATGATAAATATCTCAAAATGAGTAGAGTGAAAGTGGAACACTTTATTACTAATTACCTCACAGCCTGCCCCTCACCACCCCCTGTATGTCAGTAAATGGCACAAATATCCCTTCCAGGAGGCACCTTACTTCTTCTTCTGCATATCCTCTGTCCTGCTGAGCTCACAGTACAGCCCAGCTCCTTTCTCTAAATCACATGTGAAATATGTGAACTTCTCCTCACTTTGTGAATAGAATGCTCTGCCTGTGCCTCGTAGCCTCAGATGTGAACTCCTTGCCACACCCCAGTCTCCCAAACTCATGTATCACACAGGTACCAAAGTGATCTTTCTAAATAAGAAAACAAAATTATATCATTTTCCTTCCTGATTCAATTAAAATGAAATTCACACTCCTCAAGCAAATGCCCCACTGAATATTCCTTACCTACTTCTTCAACTGCCTTTCACTTCTGTCTGGCCACACAGGCCTTTTGCTATTCCTAAAATATACCAGAATTTTTGTATTTCAGGACCTCTGAATCACCAAACAACCTTTCCCAGAATCTACATGGTTCACTGCTCCTGTTGGTGTAATTCTCAATTCTGATGTTACCTCTTTGAAAAAACTCACCCTGGCCTCCCCTCTAGACACACCTGCCCTACTTCTGGGGCACTCACTATTGACACAAGGTTATATGATGTGTCTTTGTTTACTTTAAAATGCAAACCAGAATCCCACTTGTTTGGTTTTTTTCATTTGTTTATTGTGGTCCTCCCCAAGTTCCTGAACTTAATGTAAATTTAGAGCCAAAATAGAGGTAAAGCTATTTGACTAGTAAGTGCCAGAACTGAAAACACATAAAGAACTACTTGATAAATATTCACTGATGGATGAATACATTGGTCAGCCCTCATTCTGTCAGTTAGATAACCAGGTTACTTATTGATAAAACAATTGTAGTTTGTATGGAATTGATTTTTTTATGGGTTTAATACATTTTCCTCAAAATTTTATTTGAATAAGTTGCTAAAGATTAGTAGGGATTTACAGGTCTATAATCTCTTAAGACATTAACCTTTATCATTTTGGACAAGTTGGCATATTCATTCTTTCATTCATTTTCTAATTTATTCAGTCAATTGTCACTAATTATTCAGCACCTAGGATATTAAGCAACATGCAAAGCCCTAGAGATGTAAGGAAAATGAAAATCTTATTCTGAACTTTTCTAAGTTCCATATTTGTACTTTGAAGCCCCTTTCAAACATTTGATTTATTAATTCTGTAATTGTCTGATGTCTGTCTCCTCTACCTTGACACTAACCTTTGCACCATGTACACTGAGCAGACCGTGTACACCCAGGGAGTGAGTGCTGAATGATAGGCACATTAAGATCCTAGACTGGGTCACAGGTAGTGAATAAACAGAGAATAAGCTGGTGTGTGCCCAAAGGGAGTGTGTGCAGGAGTCAGAGTGCAGACAGTGTGAGTGTAGGCATGGAGAATGAGTCTGATGCTGTCATTCATATTAGCTCATCCCCAAATTCAAAGTTATCCTCTGGCACCAAGGAGCCCCAGGCATAATTTCAGGTTTCTTTTGCAGGCCCCAGGCACTCAATACTCTTATGCTACTTCCTGTGAGCCTTCACCTGCCCATTTCTAGCAATGTTTGCCCATTCACTTCCCTTGCCTGTCACTTCTGGAGCTGTTCTGACAGTTGCCTGGTTTTCCAGCACCTTCTGAAAGGAATAGTGAGGGTTCCAACAAAGTCTCTGAGAGAATGGGCCCATCTGAAGACCTTCAGTACTCCACTCCCACATTTGCTGCATCCTCCATGTTTGACTTCCTCTCTGTGCTCCTGACAGCTGGTCCCTGTGCAGGCTGTGAGCTTCTCACACTCCACACTGACTATCTGCTGCCACCTTTGTCTATAGAAAGTCCTTCTCCTTTACTGGGAGGTCACCTGCTTGCCATTCACCACAGCTCAGTTATCACCTACTTTTAAAGTCTTCTGACTGCTGGACTTTACCAGCCTCCTCCCCTACCATGTGTGAGGCTGCAGGCCTAGGTTTTATTGATAAGTCTACCGTGCCTCCTCATCATCTGTCTGATCTAGAAGGCTGGAGTTACCCCCTGCCTCTGTTCCTTGGGGCCAGATCCATTTCTGAT